CTCGCCGGGACAACGTCGCAAGGATATTCCAGGCCACTCTAGAAACACGACTGAGCTGGTTTGGACACGTTCCTTGTCGTCAGCCTCACGAGCTCAATGGTACTGCCCTCAATCAGACACCGTTACCCAATTAGAGACGTGAAAGAGGAGTTCAGCTCAAAATCTGGTTCAAATCAGTCCATGAGGACATGGGAGTGGCTCTTAGACATTCGGTATTCGGCCTCCGGCGTTGGCGAAGACAACGGATTGAACTGTGCAGGTCTGTTGCCGCGGATCTTCACACGTAGAGAAGTATCATCCAGGACATAATCGCGGCCGGCTAGATAAGTCACGATCGCAGTCGTAACAAGTAAAAGTCCCGACAGAGCTCCTGCAAACTAGTCCAAACGTAAGGCAACATTGTTCGGTGAAATCTACCCCGATATAGTACACTATTTATTCTGCAAGCAGTGTCTATTTTCCAAGTGTGGTGTTACAACTAAGAGGACTTCCCCGGGTAAGACATACAGCCTATCGCACATAAAAATAATTTGAAGTTATTTTCTATCCGTACCAAACTTGCGAAACCAAATTGAGTCACATTTTATATTCTCCACCACTCTAAGAAGACAAGTTGAAGTTTTTAAGGTTCTGCAGTCAGATGCCGCAATAAACATCAATAAAAACGAATTTTATTGACAACCTTCCGATTAAAATTGCCTTTCGGTAATCTTGCTTGCTTGCTTACATAATTGGAAGCAAGCACTCCTCATATTTGCTAGACTGCAACGTCGGAGCATTACAGCAAAGTCGTATCGTCAAAGGCAAACCCACAAACAGCATTCAGGCATCTCTCTATCGTCTTTTTTAGCCACTGCCGGCGCCTCATCCTGCACGAATTCTCAAGCCCAGTGACTGGCCTGAGTTTCTTCAGTACAAAGAGGAACAAACAGAAGGCTGGCGGACAGCCGTTGGGTGAGGAAGCTAATGGTGGCTCTCGCTCGCGTCTTGCCAAACGCAAGCCTCTCAATTCATCCACCAACCTGGCTGCAGATGCCAACCTAAGTGTCTCTAATGATGAGATTAACTCAGCAGCCGGTTTTGGTCCTCTCTATCAGGCCATCGTCTTTGCCAGTTCTGAGGACACGCTGGAGAGTATCATTTTAGGCAAAAAGGGTGAACCCTTACGCAAGGTGAGCACAAACCCGGTCCGTTACCCGATCGTGCTGGGTCTTCTGCCTTCGATTAACCCCAGATTCTACGAATTCTTGTTATTCTAGACTACCCTGGACAAATTTGGATGTCGTCCAAACTGCTCGCGACTCATATTTGATACGGAGAACTCTGCTCCACCCATGTTCATTATGGCCCATAAAGATGTAAGTTATTTGACTCGTACAAAGTACAGCTTTCTGTGTTGTTTGTCCGCTTTGCGTTTTTATTTGGTCAACTCGGTAAACGAATGACAGTTTTGCAATTTCGTAGGACTCTCTGAATAATTGAATCAGTAAACCTTTCCACCTGTCATTCTTTTCGCTAGTCACTTTTAGAGGCATTACTTTCGCTGCTATCCTTGGATCTGCGTAAGATTACTCGGTCGCTATCGTTCAGGCGGCGAAATAATTATGTCCCCTGCATGCTGATAAATATATATTAAATCAGGCCTTACTGTATCATCATCAACTAACCTGGCGGTGAAAGACTCCAGCCTTTCATAAGCTCCTAAATGTACGTTTCCGGACGACCCATTTGCCTACAGAGACAGGCCGGATATTGTAGCGGAAATATACCTTTAGCGGAATTCCAATTGCATCATCTAGTTGCCGGTTGTCCGGATCGTGCAAGAGTGCTGTCGCCTTTAACGACAACTGGCAGTCAAG